CTCCATGGGCACATTGTCAGTGCCAGTCCTCGCAGCCCCTGCCTTCGGGGTCCAGCACTCCAACCTGGCCAAACCCACAGCCAGAGAGTGCTGGGCAGAGCTTCCTGCCAAGGAAGGCTCTTGCCATTTCTAAGCAGGTGCTCTGGCTCCATAGGAAAGAGGGAAGCTTCTCTGCGGATGTGTGGAGGCAGGGAGAGAGGGAAGGGCTGTTTATGCAGGTGGCAGCAGCACCTTTTGAGTAGCTCCAGAACTGGCCTGTGGACTGGGGTGGGAAATGGGTTGGGCAGATGGACTAGGGAAGTCCATTTCTTGCCAGGTAAGTTTGGTGGAGGAAAAGCAATTCTACCTGAAGAATCACAATAAAGAGCCCTTGGTACAAGATCCTGTGGGATCTAAGGGGAGGAGCTGAAGTCAGCATGCAATATTGGGAATACTTCCAGAGACAGATACCTCTAATATTTTTGAAGGTTGCCATGGGGTCTGTGGGTGGACAGAGAAAGGACATTCCAGCCAAGGCATGAATAAGCATGAGAGAGTAGGGGGTGTATGAATGGGTGGAGTTGGGGCTGGTGGGCTCCAGGAGCCAACAACCAAAGCTCCTGCCAGTAACACCTGCACGGGAATCCTGTGCCCAGAGGCAGTTTGGAGGATTAAGAAGTCCACAGTCACACCACTGCCCACCTCTCCTGGGTCACAGGCCTCTTCTTGGCACCCCCAGCAAAGAGTGAAAACAAACAGCTGCCCAGGGCACCTATTGAGGATGGAGGCTTCTTCGTCCTACCCCAGGGGCCAGGCTGTGGCTCTACGGTGTCTGCCTCCCGCAGAGCAGAGCCATGACCCATTTTAAATTACAACTCGGTACACACACGCAGAAGAATTTCTCCAAACCTAACCTACCCTTGGCTTGTGGAAGGCACTCTAATTTTTATCTTCTATCCTGTCCTTTTTATTATTTTTTTAATGATGGTCTCGATCCCTGAAATTGCTTTTATAACATGGGTGAATTTAGCCTGCAGTTCGGAAACACTGCCCTGGAAAGGGATGGGCCTACCCTTCTCCAGCCCTACTTCCCAGAAGGAAAACCGAGATGAAGGCCCTGCATCCTGGTGAGGGTCAGTGGCGGGCAGGCCCAGCAGGGCCTCCAGAGCTGCTCGAGGGTGCCACTCTGCCCCGTAGGCTGTGCAGGCCAGGGAGCGGGGACTCGAGGGGCTCCAAGCAAGGTGAGCTGCAGTGGGACCCAGGAGGGTGGAAGGATGCGGGCTGGAAGTCACAGAGGGTCAGGTTCAAATCCTGCCTCTTCTATTGACTGGCTCTCAGACCTTGGATCTGTGAATTAACCTTTGAGCCTCGGACTCCTCGTGCATAAGCCGGGCATAATAGTCTCTCCCTTGCAGTGTTGTTGTATGGACTCAGGATGATTTAATGACCCCCTACAGAACTCTGGAACATTTGCGGTGCTGGCACGGCAAGGCAAGGCAAGGCAAGGCAAGGCAAGGGACGGCAACCACGGCAGGTCCCTGAAGTCCTGGTTAACATTGGTTTCCAAAATTCCAGCCCGCCTGCGGTTTCTCCAGCACGCTTGAGAGCTGGGGACACGGCATGCACCAGGCACTCATTCCTGCACACCCCGCCCCTGCCCCACGGATGTGAGGGTCCCTAGCTCACCCCACTTCCTCCCCATCCCTCCCGCCAGCCCCAGCTCCAGCTCATCCTGCCAGTCTGGCTCGCGCGCTGCCTCCACAGCACCTTTCAGCAAGGCCAGGGACCATGCGGTTCTCCAGTCGGCCCCTGTCCCCCCTCCCCAACTGCGTTCCTGAAGGACGCTGTGAGCCCAGCTCTGTGTGTGTGGGGTGTGTGTGTGTGTGTGTGTGTGTGTGTGTGTGTGTGCATGTGTGTGTGTGCGCGTGTGCGCGCTGGGGGCGGGGATGTGCAAAACCCCGCGAACCCGCCGTCTGTCCACTCAGGCTGCAGGTCCCCGCGGCTCTAACAGCCGGTGCCCTGCTGGACACACCCTGCCTCGCGGATGCGGCCTTGGCAGGAAAGCCCCTGTGACCCTCAGACAGGGTAACAAGCCTGCGCCCCTCTCACCTCTGCCCGCGCGAGGCCCGCGGGAGGAAGAGGACAAAGGCCGAGCCACCTGGCCCCACGCCTCCTGCCGGTGTGACGGGAACACACTCTGCAGGCGGCCGCTTGGCTGTGAAGGCATGGCTGGCACGGAGCCTGCGGGTGCAGAGCGAGCGGCCGCTGCATGCCCGGGCCGAAGGGACCGCCCACCCTGCCGGGAAGACTTGCGAGCACCCGCGTCGCTGTGAGGTCACCTTGGGTGACCTGAGGGCAGGGAGGGCGCGGGGCGGCTGTGGAGGGCACAGTCAGTCTGCTACTTGTAGGGCAAGCGACAGACCTCAGTCCTCACCCCCCGTGGCACCCCGCAGCGACAGGGCGGGGGGTGGGAGGGAAGAGCCCGGGTGACTTCTGAAAGTGCCCCCAATCCCCAAGGAGATTGCGGTGCCTGAGGCAAAGATGGTGCCACTTTCTGCTCTGTGTAGTCCCAGTGTCAGGGCCTTCTGTGAACCGCGGGATGGACCTACATTAGACACCAGAAAACCCACACCTTTGCAAGTGGCTGTTTCTTTTCTGCGCCTGAGCCACTTGGCCCTTGCTGTAGCTTCCTACTCGTTTTAGAAAGTCCTGCTTGGGCTCACCTGCCTGGTCTACGTCCTTGCCAGCTACCTGGCCAACCACGAATCACGGCCCCAGGCTGTCCACAGGCTGCCCACAGGCTGCATCCACTGTAGCTCCTCTTGCAGTACACCCAGCCTCCAGCGCTGTATTGTGTGTGTACCTTCCTCTAGGCTGGAGCCCATTGAGGCTGCGGGTCTTTCTTAAATCCGGTAGCTCTTGCCTGGTGCTAGGCCTGGCTCCTGGTTAGTAAGTTCTCAGTAAGAAGGTTTTGATGGGCCAGGTGCCATGGCTCAGGCCTGTAATCCCAACACTTTGGGAGGCCCGGGCAGGCAGATCACATGAGGTCAGGAGTTCGAGACCAGCCTGGCCAACATGTTGAAACCCTGTCTCTACTAAAAATTAGCCAGGCATGGTGGCAGGTGCCTGTAGTCCAGCTACTCAGGAGGCTGGGGCAAGAGAATCACTTGAACCTGGGAGGTGGAAGAGGCAGACTTTGCAATGTGCCGAGATTGTACCACTGCACCCCAGCCTGGGCAACAGAGCAAGACCCTGTCTCAAAAAAAAAAAAAAAAGATTCTGATGGTCCAATGTATGAGGCAGGGCTGCCCCAGGCCTTCAAGGTCAGCAGCTCCCCAGGCAGGCAGATGCAGGCAGATGGGGAAGGTCAGACAGGAGGCTGGAGGAACCAAAGCCCCCTCCCATCCACACAAGTCAGGGCCTACACATTGGGCTGCCCCAGGGAGGGGCTGGGATGCTAGTGCCTTTGCCTCCTTGGAATTAGGTCACCATCCAGAGGCCTCGTGCCCTTCCCCTAGCACCAAGCCTTTTGTGGTATGGGGAGGCAGCTCAGTGGGAAAAGTGGGCCCCTCTGACTTGTGGGCCCCAAGTCAGAGGGGCAGGATTGGATGCCCTATCACTGCTGCTGAACTTTGTTCCCCATCTATGTAAACCAAAGACAATGAGCAGGACACACCTGGCAAGACTATTTAAGAGCTAAGAATGTCACCAGCCCGGGGGTGATACGCCTGAGGCCTTTGCCCATCGTCCTCCCAGGCCCAGTGCACCCCTTCCATCTCCTCCCAGCTGGGAAGGCAAGTTGTCCTGGCCATACAGAGAAAAACAGAGCTGTCTTTGGCCCCAGGAGCTTTTCTCAACATGAAATGTCTCATTTTTGTGATCTTAAGGCTAGGAATTGTGGTATAGGAGGAGCCAGGGTTTCCCTACACTTGTAGTTTCTTGCTATGGGGTCATTTCTACACTTTGGGGTATGCCGGTGCTCTCTCACAGCCTGAAGCCCCAAGCACTTGTTTTTCTGGCCCCTCTGCCCACCTGCCAGAGCCCCTGCATTCCTCCTTGACACCCATACCCCATTCTGTGAGCCATGGGGCCCAGGCCCTCCCTCTCCCTGCATGGGCATCATGAAGACAGGGTTCTACCTGGCTCCTGCTGCAAAGGCCCTGGGCAGGGGAACACACCCCAAACCCTGCACAGGACTGCCTCCCCGCCCCCCACCTTCTTTCTGGGCCACAGGCCCGCTTCAGTGCCCTTGCCCGATAAAGCTGCCCTGACACTCAGGTAAACCCGATTCTGCTGAAGGTTGGGTTTCTTGTTTCCAGGATTTGTTTTCCTAACCACAGCTGGCACCCTGGTGAGTTCTAAAACAGCTCTGGACTTCCTATTCTGCTTCTCAGTTGTGCCCAGCCAAGGGCCCTTGGCTCCTTCTCTCCTGATGACAAACCTTGCCCAGGGCTTCTCTTCCTCTAAAGGATGATCTGGAGGCTTCCGCATCTACCCTGCCGTCACCCTAACCCGGGGCCTCCCAGCCTTTCCTCTGGCATGTCCACCACCAGCACCCATGCCCTTCCCCACTCCCTGGTCCTGCCCATGGCTAGTGAAGGTCACATGAGTATCCAGCCCAGAATTTAGCAACTCAGAGTGGGAGAAGCTTCAGCCTTGCGTTTTAATAAGTTAAGACTGATACATGGCCATCCACTCCCGAAGAGGAGCCGTCCAGGCAGTGCTGAGGCCCAGGCAGATGGCCCATCCCCGCTCTCCACAGCCACCCACCTGCCCACTGACAGCACTGCCAGGAGGTCTGGGCAGAAAGTGTACAGCTGTGTGATGGCCAGGCACCGATGCAGCCCTGTCTCCAAGCTGGACAGGAGAACTATGACGAGGCCGCACAGGCCCGGCTGCAGCGACTCCTGCCTCCATCTGGGCAGAGGCAGCAGGTGGGCAGCTTGGGGCTGGTCTGGCCGGTCCTACTGGCTGGATCCTGGCTACTACAGTAGCATGTCCTGAAATTGGTCTTCATTTTTTTTTTCAACTTTATATCAAAAAAATTTCCTAGAAATGTTTAATATTCTGGCTACCAGATAACATCTCCCAGGTGTTCCCATACCCAGAATGGGCAGAAAACTGTCAGACCACACGTTCTGATTTTGGTTGGGCATATATGGTCAATAGCTGTAAGGCTGGTACTCCAGGACACTGCCCATTTCTGGATAAAGGGCAAAGGCAGTGAATGGGAGTAGGGAGGAACATAGATGAAAAAGGGGAGGGTCAAGGCCAACATGGACATGAGCTTTCTTTGGTTCCACAGTGTTGGAGGCTGGGGTAGCCTTTGATGGGGAGTGGGACCAGGAGGCGGGGCCGGCTCTCAGGCAGCAACCAAAGAGTCCACTGAATCTCCCTCCCCCCCCGGCAACAAAGGTACAAGTCAATGTTGACACCCCCTTAGACATGGAAGGAGACCCATTTTTTTTTTTCTCTAGTTCTGCATGAATGTCCTTAAAACACATATGCAAACAGGCTCCTTGCCTCTCCCTAAGGCAGTCCATCGCAGAAGCCCTGCCACAGCGCAAGGGGTTAGACACCAGCAGGATCCATGTTTCCAGCACAGGGCAGCTTGGCAGCACGTTCCCGGCCAACCACCCTCAGTGGCTCAGGGCTTCCGAGGCAGTGGCAGTGAGGGCAGTGGCACTTCTGGGTCACCGTGGTACAGGTCTCTGCCTCAGGACACGGATTGACAAGCTCTCTGAGTGGGCCAGCAGCTCCTTAATGTGAGCCAAGCCCAGCCCTGCCACCTTGGCCCCGTTGACCTCCAGGATCTCGTCGCCCACCCCCAGCAGCCCCGAATACAGCTTGGCCGTGCTCATGTCAGCCATCTCCTGCACGTAGATCCCTGCAAAGGAAAATGGGAGAATTTCACATTGACACCCAAATTGAAGACGTGCATGTCTGGAATGCTGATCTTGTCAGTGACGGGCTGTTTGTGTGGCTCAGGGAAGTGGTGCTCATACAGGGTACTTCTGTGCGTGGACACACACACACACACACACACACACCCATTGTTCCACCTCACAACCACAACTGGCTTGAGGCACAGATACACTGCCCCTCTTCCATGTCTAACTCCATTCCGCTGTCTCCGCTTTTAACGTGGAAATGCTCCTAGTGCAAATAATGTACCAAGCTGCTGTTACTCATTTATACCTGACTGGGAGTGAGCTGATCTTTTTCTGAGATGAGCTTTTCTTATAGAATAGGGAGGAAAATACTTTTTAAGAATTAAGAACCATACCTACTCGGTGCCTGGTACTGTGATCCAGTTGCTGCCTTCAGGTCGCCCAGGCCCAGCGTGAAGGCCGGGGTGGTGGGAAGGTTATCCTCAGAAGAGCGAAAGTGGCTGAGCTACATCCAAGCCTGGTCTGCTGCATTCTTGCCAAGGACTGACCCTGGCCTCAGTCTTACTCAGACATGGTTCCTCAGTTGGGATGGGGAAGCATCTGAGCAAAAAATTCTAGCCACGTATTTTAAAGCTCCGGTGGCCCCACCTCCAGTGGAGGCCGCTGCCCCCACGCCGCCTGTCCAGGGGTCCTGCCCTGCTTGCCTAACAGGAGAGGAGCTACGGGAAGGCCTGTGAGGACAGACGTTTTGCCTTCCTGAGCTCCAGAGTGGGGAGAGACCTGTCCTCACTTCCCCTCACACGCATGTCCAGCTCATCAGCAAACAAATCAACCAGAATCGAACCCCTCTCCCCTCTCCCATCTCCACAGCCATTCCCAGCCCAAGCACTGCCACTCCTCTTCTGCACATGCCCCTCCTGCCCACCCCAAAGAGGCCCTGCCTGGGTCTAGGAGGTGCCAAGAGCCAGCCTTGGGGAACCAGCTTCCCTGCTTCTTTCCCAGGCTCCGGCTCTCAGGGAGCCCCGTCAGTGGGGCAGGCCCTGGGGGGCTCGGGCTGGCTGGGTTAGCTCCCCTGGCCTCTCTGGGAAGCTTCCAGCTGAGGAGGCCGCCCCTGGCCTCAACTACGGCTGGAAACATTTTCAAATTCTCCTCCGGCTGCTCCCACCTGGGAGAGAAAGTAAGGTGCCAGCTCTCCCAGCGCAGGCTGGAGCCCCTGATGCCCATGCTCTGTGCCGGGTACACACACAGGCTGAGACACAAGCCAAGTTTGCTGGAGGACTGCAGGGCACACACCTGGCGCGGCCGCCAGCACTGGCAGAATTCACCAGGCCACTCAGTGCAGCCCTGGCACCCTCGCTTTTCCCATCCCAGCTCGGCTCACTCTGCATTTCAAAAACATGAGGCCACTGCCCACACGTTACTGTCTCCACTTCCTTCTCGAATCAGGTTCTTAGCGGGGGCCCGAAAGGGTGGCAGGTCTGTACCTCAGTCTCTGGCTTGACACTGCTCACCGCATCTTGGACTAGTGGAAAGCTGTCTCTCAGGTCCCCCCAGCCCTGTAGGAGCTTTGGGCAGCCCAGCCTCTGGCCCTGACAGAAGTCAGTCATTTTAAAGCCTGCCTCTGAAGTGTGGGTTTGAAAAAGCACTGACACCTCCCCCCTCACTGAGGTACCTGAAGGTTTGTGGCTCTGAATTTAGCAAATCTAATCTTTGCATACATTCCCCCTCCCTGGGCTGAGGTGTGGAATCCCTTTTGTTGTTGTTGCTTCTTGGCCAAGCTGAGCCTTTCCTGCTGGACTGTCGCCCCTGACAGTATGTCTGCCATCCTGGCTGCACAGGGCGTTTTCCCTCCGCCCTGCCTTTCACTGCTTGCCCTCTCTGTTTACGGGCTGGTGGCACGGGGAGGGGCAGGTAAGAAGGGGCCCCTGGGGTGAACCCAGAGAAGCGTCTGATGTGCCGCGGTTGTTGCAGGCGGGGAATAATGATAAACCCTGAAAGAATGCAGCCAGAGCCAGGCCAGGCACTGACGTCACTCCTGCCATTTTGGGGAGACTCGGGTAGATTTCACAACTGAAAGTCGTGACACAAATATGACAGAGAGCCTGCTGTCGTAGGCATTTATTGTCTGCTGGAAATGGCCTTTGTTGAGGATGTGTGATCTTTATGTTGTATCCAATTAGAAGCAGAAGGCAAAGCCTGCTGTTCTCACAGGCTCATATAGAGTCGGATGTGAACGCCAGCAAGCTAATATGATGACAGCAGGAGCAGGGAGTTCCTGGGCAGGACAGGGAAAGCTGGCACCAACCCAGCGAGGGGGCAAGGGCCCTGGGTCACTAGAGACCCCTGCCCATCAGACCTCCCTGACAGGTGACAGGGAGGGGCTCCCACTGCCTACAAGGGAGCCAAACGGGACTCTGGGGTGAGTTGGGGGCTGGGTATAAGCCCTGTTGTGCACTCACATTGACAGGTGAGTGCGGATCACCCTGGTCCCTGTCTGGGGTTCTCTTCCCCAAACAGACTTTTTCTTTCTGAAGGGAAGGGAAGGGGAGAAAATGCGAGGCCCTTTCTCCTGTGTGCCTTCTTGAATGCTCCTTATGACTCTTCTAGGTAGGTTTTGTCATCCTCATTTCACAGATTAGGGAACTGAGGCTCAGCAGGGATATCGCCTGCTCAAGGTCACACAGCCAGCAGAGGTGCTAGAGCACAAACATGCTGCGTCGTCCACCTCTGCCTCTACGCCGCCTGTCCAGGGGGCCTGTCCTCCTCGCCTAACAGGAGAGGAGGCTATGGGAAGGCCTGTGAGGACAGATGTTTTACCTCCCTGAGCTCTGGAGTGGGGAGAGACCTGTCCTCCTCTCTTCCCCTCACACGCATGTCTAGCTCATCAGCAAATAGTCAAATCAACCAGAGTCCAGCTCCTCACCTCTCTCCCCAATCTCCACAGCCATTCCCAGCTCAAGCACCGCCATCTCTGTCCTGGACTGCTGTAACAGCTTTAACATGGGGCTCCCTGGCTCCACCTGTGTCCCACTGGGGTATATTCTCACCCTGCTAAAAGTGTACATCAGAGGGTCTCAGTGCTCCGCTCCAAGCCTCTAGTGGCTCCCATTTCACTTGGCAGAAAGCCAAAGCCCCTTACAGTGGCACAGCCTTGTCTTTCCAAGCTCTGCCCCTCCTGACCCCTCGCCCTCTCTGCACTGTCCAGCCTGGCCTCCTTGCAGTCCTCACAGGCCAAGCCACCCCTCCACCAGGGCTTTGCACTTGCTGTTCCATCTGCCAGAATACTCTTCCCGCAGATACCCACGGGGCTCCTCCCTCGCCCCCACGCCCCTGCTCAAGTATCATCTTCTCAGAAAAGCCTCCCCACACTCCTGTCTGCACCAGCATCTGCCACACCTGCGTTATCTGTGTGTTTCTCAGAACTTTATTTTCACCATCTGACATACGTAGCACATTACACATAGCAAGAGTACACGTTTTATAGATATGGGCTAGCTGCTCACTGGGTAGTATATTCATGAGGACAGGGATTTGGTCTGTTGCATTTACTGCTGTATCCCCCGTTTCTATAACACATAGTAGGTGCTTAGTATATATTTGCTGTAACAATGAATGATGGAACAGACATGAGAACTCATGCTGCAGTCTGCAAACGTGGCAGCAGGCAGATTTTTTTTGCAGGCTAAACAACATTGACCTAGGAGATCAAAGCCTGGGACTCAACCCCCCATCAGCAGAGCCCAGCTGTAGCAGGCTTCTGCACGTGCC